CGCACCCTCACGGAATCTCTGCAAGTTCAATCCTTGTGTCTCCCTTCCATCGAGGCTCGGAGCCTCAATCGGGCAGTGTGACCGCCACACTCTGGAATACACAGAATGACTCAAGTTACTCGTTCTGCGTTCTGCGGGGCACTCACCGAGCATTGCGAGAAAGGTTGCGAGCTCGGTCACGTCCAATGCCTCTGCCCCGGTGCTGGCATCTCGACTAACCAGATTACCCGCCGCCAGAACGACTCGGTAAGAGCTGTAGAGCATGGCCACTTCGAAATGCCTCAGAGTCAGAGACATTCAATCGTGCAAAATCAGAATGTCCATAATGAGACATCTCCGATGTCGAATGCCCTGTCGCGAGGCGACAAACGAGCCCCCCTTTGGTTTACTCGACTTTCCCTGATTCAGGGCGTTCGATAGCGGGAGCAAAAATCAACGATCAAGGAGCAAAGTTCGTCATAAACAGTGGAGCTCCGGCATCGCAAATTAATTGCAGAGACATTCCACTGACTGATTCAGAGCAAAATTCTTCCGGAAGAATTGAAAGAGTTCGATGACTCATTCTCTAGCAAGTTGGGCTTGGTTCGCACTCATCAGGATGAAGTGATCTTGAGTCGGGAGTCGTGTCCGTCCGGCAGCCTTCGAGACGGATGCCATTCGCAAAGCGAGCCGAAGTTGAGAAGAAAATTGAGAAACTGCTCCGACTCGACGTCATTGAGCGTGTCCAGTCCAGCAAATGGAAATCTCCTTTCGTCGTCGTGAAAAAGAGAGACGGTGACATCCGTGTACGCGTTAACTTACGGAGTGTTAACGAAGCTATCGTGGCCGACGCCTTCCCGCGACCTCATTCCGATGATCCATTCGAGAAATTACGTGGGTCAAGCGTCGCCACGAACCTTTACCTCACTTCAGCGAGCTTTCGAATGAAACAAGCCGAAGAAACCAGAGATCTGACAGCGTACATCAAACCGAACGGCTCCTTTCGATTCGAGAGAATCTGGTCCAGAATTGCTTCCGCACCGTCAGCTTTCCAGGACATTATGCGGGACGTACTGAAGGACTCGAAGTGCGTCTTGGTATATTTGGACGATTAACTGATAATCGGTGCTTCGAAAAGAACACGATCGCCGTTTGCAGGAGGCTTTCAGACGGATACAAGACGTCGGTGAAGACTCTGAATTCGAAGTGCGTCATGCCGGTCTTGGAAGAAATCGATTTCTCCTGATATCATGTGACAGCGGAAGTTATTCGCCCGAGCCCGATAATCTCGGGGCAATTCGTAGGCTACCTCGCCCGCTGAGCGTCTCACAGGTCAAATCCGTGCTGGGCACATGTCCGTTCTACATGAAGTTAGTACCTCGATTCTCAGATCTTAAAGCGCCATTAAGGCGTCTGATCAAGGATGAAGCTCGTTTTGAATAGAGCAACGAACAAGAGGAAGCCTCGGAGAACTGGAAAAAAAAGTGACGATTCCCGACCCGAGTTGACCAACTACCGTAGCATGTGACGCTTCAGAAATCGGAATGGGTTGCGTGCGACTCCAACGTCCATCGCGGGAGAAAGCGATAGCTTATGCTCATTCGACGAGGCCCAGCTCGGATACTCGACAGGAGAGATCGAAGCTCTCTCTGTTTCTTCGCGATCTAGCACTGGCATGTGTACCTCTGGGGAAGCGATCCACCCTGGGGCGGACCACCAGGCGTCAGTCTGACTTTTGGGTCCGAATGGAGGTGGGCGAGGGCCCATGAGGATAGGTCGGTGGCTCGAGAAACTCTGCACATATAGTTTCATTGTCGAGTATCGGTGAGGGAGCTCTGATAGCGTGCCTGACATGTGCCTGACCACTACGGCTACCAATCAAATATACCCTCCACGATGCCGCGGAACTCGCTGTAGCCACATGAGGCGAAAAACGCAAGCCGTCCACATGGTCGGAAATAGCACTTGTGAAGACGCCGAGCTCTCGGATCCATACCGGCGGAGACGTTTGGGAAAAATCAAGCGATTTCCATGGATTTCGGGGTGGTCGCATTACGCTACCCTAAACACTGCGGTGGAGTGCGTTCCGTCTGGCGCATGACGATGCTCACCCCGAATAGTCGAGACGAAGCACCGCTTGAATGGAGCTCACGGGCAAGATACTGGTGGCCGTCATTGGATCGGCTCATCGACGAAACCATACGGAGCTGCAAGCTCTGCTCGGAGCACGACAAAAGTGTTGTGCCAAACTCAGTCCCGATCACCCCAACCGATTTTCCCGAGTATCCATGGCAGCGCTTAGATGGCCTCAGACAAAAGGAACCCAGATAGCACCGGAGGGTCTCAATTCCGTTTCGCTATCCCCGTTCTGGATTATCAATCGAAGCGGGGAGAATTAGAGCTGGCGAACGAGTTTACTGTCAACGAGTCGGGTCATGTCTTTCTTGCGTCGGATGCTCCGTCGTGAGAGCGTACCGGAGACGTTGGGCTCGGATAATTGAGTACAATTCACATCAAGAGAGTTCAACGAATTTCTCCTGGATTTGCATGACAGGTGCCCAAATTATCATCCAAGAGCCAATGATCGAATTGAGAGATTTATTCGCACTCTAGGCCTCATGTTGACAAAGGCTGAAGCGGCGGGCGTCAATATCAGGGATCGCTCGGTAGAGATGCAGGGTTGATGAAATTCGACACTTCCAGCTGCAACTGGTGTTTCGCCGGCTGAGTCGCTTCACGGAAATCACGACCCCGCAAAACGAGATTGGATGTCAGCGCGGAGGTTCCGCTCTCTAGGCTACTTGATTCTGAAGAAACCCAAGCAGTCCGTGCCAGAGTTGAGGAAAACCAAAGCAAGCAGACAGTGTAAGCGAATCAATATCTTGCTGCGAGATGAGGATTTACGTGGAATTGGTATCTCGACGCTCTGACCTGTAAAGGAGAGGGAGTGTAGTCGTAGAGTCTAAGCGGTCTAGCGACGCGACGGTGGCGCCGCCAGTGACATGTTTAATAAACTGGTAGCCGGCAGGGACATTCCGGGTCTGAAGCTGCGAACGTGGAGAATGAAAATTTCTACAGTAAAACATCATTTGCGACACTACAATACTCACTAGAGCGAAGATTGCGTTCGACGGAACCTCCCTCCCAACGCTCCATGTTGTAAGAAATCAATGAGCGGCAGTCGCGAGGTCAAGCTTACATTTCTGCAAACCAATCGCCGATGGGTTGATCCGAAGCTCGGAGACTCGGCTCGAAGATGTTCTTGACTGTCACTCCGCGGCCGCGGAGGAGAGCGCAATTGCTGCTTCATCGATGCCTTCATCGAAGGACGCCAGGCTCGAGTGCTTGAGGTCTTGAAAGGAGTGAGGAGTGACTTCTCTGATTTCGGTGAGGAGTGCGATGGTTATGGTTATTACTGATGCTCGCTAATGTCTACACTTTTTCATTATATACATGAGCGACCCTGCTTCAGGGGCGGGTTTCCTCAGCAGATCCTTCATGTGTCATCCTCGTTACAAGGAGGAGGTCTTGCGGAGGTCAGTTCCTCCGTGATTCCGAATCCGGTATCCCGATGCTCGAGAGACACCCTCTGACCGGGGCGATACTCGAACGCCCTCGAATGCCGAGATGGGAATATTCTCCTGCTTCGCGATCGGCAATCCGTCAAAAGCCAACCATCTCAGAGATTCAACATCCGAAAAGAATGGGAGAAAACTCGCAAGTCTGGAATCCATTGACTCATTCTCGTTACAGTGCTTGTGTGCTCAAAGTTTCCGCCTAATCGTCATCGCCGCTGCCAGGGATGCGCATCCCGTCTCTGTTGAAGCAGCTCAAAATGAGACCAGAGAGCCCCCCTCCATCGATTCGCTATGTGAGACTTCAATCTCAGGGGGCGTCAATAAGACAGGCTTGCCCGCCGTCACCGTCTTTGCTCAAGATCTCGAGATCTATCGTTGGAGGGAAATTCCGGATAGAATGTCCAGAAGCAAGGAGGAGAGTCGATGTCGATTCTCGGAAAATTTCGCTCCCAGGGGAGAGCAGACATCCTCCTCGGATTCTAGGGCAGCCCGTGAAACTTTGGCCCGTCACGATGACGAGAGGAAGGAAAACTCGTCTGAGATCCCCTGTATGTGAGTTTGATCGTCATCACCGGAAGTATGGGATATGTTTTGTGTTTCAACGGAATGATGCAACTGGCTTTGCTCTCCGCTGTGATTTTCACTAGCATTGTGATCATGATCAGAACGATAGGATTTAGCGATTTCTCCTAATCATGCCACTGCTGACTAGGATTTCAGGTTTGATTTCGATTGGGTCTACCATTGGAATCATAATCATAGGTCTTAATCATAATGATCGCGGCATTCGAGATCCTGGAAGTCCGGATCGCATAGTCGGGATCGCGGTTTTCGGGACGCGACGATTATTTTACTTAACACTGGATTCCAAAGACTACCTCCTTCCTGATGCACCGGACCGCTTTCGAGGGAATCACGCACTTCCTCGTGTCGAGCTCCGGGAGCCGTACTCCGAGGGTATCGTCCACTGACCGAGCGCTCTCCGGTCAGTGGGCATCCGCCAAGCCGGCGCCGCGCCGTCAATATCAGCCGACTATGGAGAGCCCGGGGAGATCGTATTCGCCTCTTCTTTCGGAAAAAGAATCCTTCGATCGCGACAAATTGATGGGTAGTAGAAGCAGTAATCGCTGCAACCGTTCAGCTTGGCGAGCAATGCCCGCGCTGGGGTAGCCCACCCTATAAGAGCTTTGATTTACCCCGCGCAATCGGTCTCAGTCCTCCAAAAACGTCAGGTGACGGAGGATTACGTCCGCAGCCGCCACCACCGGAGCGACAGGATTTGCGAGAGAAAGTCACTGTCTTCCTCGTGCTTGAGTCACAGGCACCCATATGAGAGGCACAAAGTGGCTTCGAAGGTCGCGCGCTTCCACGGTGTTGTTACCCTCCCCGATTTCCGGTGCTCCTCTCCCTTGTGGCCTTAAATTTCGCCGCAAGAGCGATTCTGTGCCCTCGCCGTACTCTCGATCGCAAATCTACCACACAAGCAGAACGCCAGGGTAGCGATCGGAGGCCTCGGAAGTTCGCCCCCGTGATCGATTTAAACTGCGCTGTCAGGCTTGCCATTACCGCCACGACCCTCTGCCCCGATTGCAGGGGACCCTCGTTGTTCCGCGGAGTCGAAATCATCAGAAACTCTCACAGAATCCGATTCGATTCCAAGCATGATCAACGCAGACGAAATTGTTGTCCTCGACACAGGCAACATCATCAAGTGCAAGCAGTTAACCAAGCAAGACTTCGAAACTCTGTCGGATGAGGTGAGTGCAGCGGAAAGCCCCTGAGTCTCGCAGGCGACCCACCTTCTGTTCTGCGAGAGAGATTGGGTCCTTCGACGAGGAGCTTCGTTGGAATCTTGGGCCATTACCTCGCCTGTATTGACGTCTCCGTGAACTCCATGCTCAGTCAGTATACCTCCAGCATGTTCCTCCCGTTCATCTCGCGGAGGGTCCCAAGCTGTACCGTGCTGGCTACGAGCGTGAAACATGAGTCTCCGAGAGATCTCGCATTGGTAGCGCTATTGATTGGTATTCTTACTCACAGATGGTAGAAAGCGTCAGACACTGCTTGGATTCGCTATCGAGGAGTTTCGCGAACGTGGATACGAAGGTGAGGAAAGTCGCCGCCCTGTCAAGTATCTTCTCTGCAAGAAGCTCGACTATGTGTACATTGCCGTGTTCTGATGAAGGGAGCTTCCTCGTGGACAACAGCCGAGTTGTTGAACGGTGTAGTTGCCAATGAAATGGCCGACACCTCGGGGAGCATCCATTCAACGTATAAGTACGCGGCGAGAAACTCACCGGGTTGCATCTCAATGTTCAGCCTGTCCCGGTGCGTGAGTGACTCGAAAGACCTACCCAGATAGTGCCCATCGATCACAGTGAGCGAAGTGCAGAATTGCCAACTACCATGCAGCCGGATCATTGGTCGGTCGGAGCACATTGGTATGGATCAGATCGGTTGTCGGATCGGGTCGCAGGTGGCACGGAGCGTGTTCAGGAGAAGACTATAACCAAATACAACGCGGGATATTCTCGGCTGGGAGCAGGGGAGTAACCCACGGAGGCGTCCTCCGGAGAAATCTCCGTAAGACTGAGGCCTCAGTCCGTAGGGGAGACTTCACTCGCTACTGAAGACTGACTGGGGGGATCGATCAAAATATAAGGGAGGTTGGGCTTGCCCTTTGGATTTCCCTTCAAAGCGCCACCCGAGCCACACGAGTGAACAATGAAACAGTGGTGAGTCCTTCCGTGAGATGAAGTGCCTCGTCCCTTTCGGCTCCGTGGTCGACGTGGATCGTTGACCATACTTTCTCCCGCGTTCAAAAATTATATCGTGAGACTGTCGTCTATTGTCTTTGACTGATCGGTCCCACCATGAGGGGTTCGGGTTGCGTCGATGCGCTTCCCTGAGGTCGATCCCTCAACCGAGGATGAGTTCAGGCGCTCAATCGAGTGGGCGATGCACTTGGCGTCGGGGATCGCGACACCGGTCATGCAAAAGTGCGGCTGAGTATTTTCGAGGTACGCTTCCGCGGCGAGCGTATCGGAGAGCCTTGAGTACGAGTTTTCTTGTGAGTTCTCGTAACAGACAAAGCCCTGGTAAGTCATGCAACAGATGCTGACCGGCCTCCTCGCGGGTGCTGTAGAGAAGAAAGCAGATCTTATCAATGAGCGCTATAGGCTCGTTCTCAACATTCTAGATATCAGGTGAAAGATTCCCCAGCGATTGAGATCGCGCGGAACTAGTCCAAGGAGGCGATGATCCAGCCCTCCTTGGCCAGTAGCGTGCTGGCCACGGAGCTTCGGAGCCACTAGCATCGAAGCCTGTGGAGCGGGTGCGATGATCTTTTTCGGTCGCCCGGGAGCGTCCAGACCTTAGGCGCTCACGGCTGCGCTTCCATTTGCGGATCTTGGCAGGGGGATCGCGCGTTGGAGGTCCGCGATTCTCACTCACGTCTTTGACAATGCGTTTGTTTTTCCGTCGCCTTTCTGCGTACCACCGGGATCAGAGTAGTAGGTAGCATTATCTATATCCTGGGATGATGGCGCAGCAATCCGCGGCTGATCTACCCAGAGTACCCACCCATGATCGATTCCAGGTTGATTACACACATGAGAACCATTCCTCGGTTGTAGAAGCAAACGACAGGGACCAAGTACGGGTCTGCGTCAAAGTCTTCCTCACGCGCTTCGAAGAGAACGCGGTCCATGATGCTGTGCACAAAGGTGAGTGGTCACCGAACTTAGATTGTCGGTCGCTTCCGATTGTCATGGTCAACAACGAGGGCAATGGAAACTCCTTCGGATAACTGAAAATAGCGTCGAAACTTTACACCATCCGAGTTATCAAGCGATAGTATAAGTCGGTGTGACCTTGAAAGAATAAGACCTCTTCCTGAGCGCTCTGCCAGCCCAATGTCAGATATGAAAAGGCAGTCTTGGTTGCTCGCCGACGAGTGTCCTCTCCTGCTGTTCTAGAACGTCGAGGCTATATCGGCTCTAGGCTGAAGAGCTCCATCTGTACATAGCATTCCGCTCCACTCTGATGGCGAGACACCGATTCATACTCAGACGCTCTGTTTCCAGCCCTGACTCAACTCGACGTGAACCGAATCGAGTCCCTCATCGTGGCGTTCCCGCCAAGCGGAAACCATAAAATAGGATTACTGCAAATGCAGCCGGTGTGGAGAGCTTGCGAGGAGCTAATAGCTCAAGGTGATTCATGTGACTGACTTGAAGTGTCTCTCTTTCTTTCTCGCTGAGAGGAACCCCCTCATTTTGAATGCTCCGAAGCTCATTCATCATAATTAAATAACACACCTACATGATATGATGAATGTGTGTATATATGAGACGACAATTCCTTCGCAGGATCCGTTTGTTCGGCTGGAGTGGCGGATTTGGATCTGTCGCAGCTGAGCGAGCTCTATCAATGGGCTCCGAGTTTCAAGCCGACAACGAACCAATTATGCCTCGATACGATTTGCAATCTACCGAAAGAGATGACTGAGTTCGCCGCCGAGAATAATATTCAGCTCTTGAGCCACGGAGATGATAAAGAGCTCACGAGTCGAGTAAACGTGAGGAGAATTCTCCATGGCTTCAAAGGTCAGTTTGGAGCAGGTTCAGAAACTTGAGATGCAGGCCACAAGGTGAAAGGTCAATCACGACTTCCCCGATCCGTGCTCTTGCAGGAAACGTGGATGATTGGATCTGTGAATTCGCGACTCGATACACTGTATCTTTCCAATGTAGAGGTGTTCTCCACTCGAAAGGTTATATTGTCAAGCTCAGGCGGGAATCGCGTTGAACTTTCCTATTTGCTTGAATATGCCTATTTGTTACATGCATTGACCCTCCCTAGCTCTCGATTCAACATCTCTCATTCGGTCGCTGCTTCGGGAGGAGTATCGAGGACTGTACCTTAGGTATAGGGCCATTGTTCTCAACTCAGTCGAATCTTTTACTGGACGTTGTGGGATTCTCGATCCGACGCTTGGATGATGCGCTCAATCGCTCGTAGATCTCAACGAGATCTGATAGGAATTCGGAGAAAATGAATTAGTTATCTTTCCTATCGATTTTGAGGCGGCTCATATAGAACTCGAGTATCGACGGCGTCCTCAGAGCACAGAGAGGATCGCGAGCTTTACTATGAATAAATATACATTTGACGAATATTCCGAAGCGTTCTTTATTGTTCGTTGGCTGATGATTCATGTCGGGAGCGGCAGAAGCCTTGGGGAATATCCTGTCCCGCATTCACCGATGAGGCTACATCTCATCTCTCGCGACATTAATTTCGAATACGACTCCACGTTTGACTTGTAAATCATCCTCAATTTTGGTGAGACTCTTCCCCCATCGTGTTTTCGGGTGCTGCAGCGTTGCTGCGGTTGAGGTCACTCATTTTTCTCTCTCTGTCAGCTGACCGCGCGCGGCACATTAGTCTTGCTGACGGGACGACACCAATCATTACGGACGGGGACCCATTTGTAAACTCTCATTGTTGTCTCGCCGATGGTCACCCAGCGCTTTTCCCTGCAAGAAAGAGGGTACACATCATTTCTAGACAAAGTCGGTCTATACTACCTCAAAAGAGTTGCGACTGTTAGTCAGTTGTTCCCGTTACCTCGGGGATGCTGCAAACAATCGAAGCGGAACGGTCGTGGGAGGTTGGATCGCCCCGGGCTGGAATACTTACCACTTCCGAACTTTATCGACACTCTGCATGACGCGCTTGATCTCGTCCTTGGCCCGGCTCCGAGTTTCGGCTCGGAACGAACGCGAGCCTGATCGGGAAGACTGTCTGGACGAATCCATGTCATGCGCTCACTGAACGCTTTCCGTATTGAGATTCCTTCCGCAAAGTTTGCGATCACTTGATCCGCCTGATTGAAGACAGATGACTTGAACAGCAGGACGCCGACGATTCGAGTTCGCTTTCCCTCCCGGCTTCCTGATCGGAAATCAGCACGGTTTCACGCAACTTGACCGCCTGGCAGAGTGACTCGGTCCATGTACACGCAGAGGGGGTAGCGAGGGAAACCGACTGGATAACATTCAGTTCGACGGTGACATGGCTCGAAAATTGGCTCGAAAATGGGCTTTTGCCGCAGAACAATCCGTCGGTTTCTAACCACCGCTGTTTACATCTCAAATGAGCGACTCGCCTCCGTTGTTGACATTCTAAAAATGAATCGACGCATTCTGTCGCAAGTTTTGAAGAGAGGGCGGTCAGCGGCACGAGGAAGGCCGCTGCGTCATCCGACCATATGGAGAGGAGGCGGCGGGTCCGAGCCCTTTGAGATGTAAACAGCGGGGGTTAGAAACGTCACACGGCCAAAGGCTAGGATTTCCGAGCGGTGGTGGAGGAGGCTAGCAGACGTCATCGGCGGAGGGGCAACAGGCTCAGCCGCCGCCGCTTCGACCTGCTAGAGAGGCGCGAAATTTGGAATGCCGATTGCAGTAGGCCTTGGCGATGGAGTGGAGTGACGGAGCAGGCGTTCCTCATAGACGTCTCAAATTGGCTGAACCTCTGGAATACATCATGAGCAAAGAAACCGATTCCGACCCTCAGAGAATCCCAGACAGCATCAATCTCTAGAGGGAGGAATCTCGCCGACCGAGATTCGGGACCTTCTCGCGGGTACAGGGGCGGATCCAGGATTTTCTCTCGGGGGGGGCCAAAGCCCCGTCTGGTCGTGGATGGATGAGTTGGGAGCATATTATTTAAACTTTAATAGCTTAATATAACTTTAGGAGTTTATATTATGAACTGCTTCCCGAGCAGCACATTTATTCGGTCATATGGCTCGACTGTTCAAGTTTCACTCAGCCCTAGAACTAGATTCATCCAGTCAAGCTGGATTCACGCATTACAATCACGTGAAATGAAGTTTAACTTATATGGCACAACGATCAGGTGATAAAAAGCGAGCACAAAGCTTCGCTCGATTCAGCTACAAGACAAAATCTAGCTTCCTCGCATTCGAAGCTAAGGAGTCGATGACCTCCTCGGGATCGACGTCGATGCCCCGTAGGATGCTCATCGAGGCTAATCCATTCAGGCGAGCCTCGCCCATCACAGATCTCAAATACGTCTTCAGCAATCTAAGACTGCTGAAAGTACGTTCTGCGGAAGCGGTGGTTACTGGGTATGTAGCGAGTATTCTCAAGAGGATATTGATTTTGGGAAAATCAGCTGCGGGGCAGTGATTCAGTGCATCTATGGCGCCTGCAGGCACTCCGTTTTGCGGGACTTCCATCCACTTCGCGCGCCACCTTTCGAATTCGGCTTTTGCGACGTTAACACTACAGCTTAGATCGGACTCGTAAAACTCGATCGCTGGATGCAGATCCGTGACAGAGCTTCTCACTGCAAATTTGGGTATCAAACACTGGACCTTCAGGGCGCCCTGTCTCGCATCCGCGAACAGTGAGATAAACCCATCGATCAAGCTGTCGAGGTACGGAATGTAACTCGTCACTCGAAAATACTCTTCACTTGAATCTGCGGGATGATTCTCCCTGTTGAGCTGTCTTTCACATATGCGTGGCATTCTGATATCAATTTCGAGGGAGTCGCAAACCTCTGTAACCTCTGCCAAAATTTGTTGGAATCCATCGATCGCAGCTTCTCGCCTCCGCCTCAAGACAAGGAGTACGTTGTCCACTAAGTCAAGTGCCGCGAAAATATCAAGCTCCTTCGCTTGAAGTTTCACGGACAAGGGCAAAAAAAGAGATGAGAAACTCTCGATGATGAATAAAGACGTCACGAACTGGCATTTACAAATCGCGCTCAGAAGTTCGTAGGAGCGAGCTCCGGTTTCACCAACTTCTTGCTCCAGCTCCAGCAACGACTGCACGATCGGTATAAGAAGCTCCTTGAAAGCTATGAAAGCCTGGTGGCTCTCCACCCAACGCGTCATACACAATGTTTTGAGTCTCTTTTTTCTGGAATTCGATGAGTTCGAGCGTTCGATCTGATCTTGTAGAATTCTCGTTCGTTTTGAAGAGTTCGAAAAGAATGCACATACATTCGCCACTGAGCCAGCTACCAATCGGATCGCGGCGAGCTCGCTGGAGTGCACCAAAGCCAAATTCAAACAATGAGACGCACAATGGAAGTAGAGCGCTTGAGGAACGACGGCTTTTATCTCGGCTTGCGCACCCTTGTTTGACCCTCTCATCGCACTACAGCCATCATAACCCTGACCTCTGAGGTTCCGGACTGTCTAGTCCTTCTTCTTGAAGAACACCGAGTATGCTGCGGGCAACCCAGACCCTGTCTTCTCTTCCACATCAGAAAATTTGAGGAAGACTTCTTTGACAACGTGCTGATTATCTTCGCCGCCAACATAACGAAGACACACGGTCAGTTGATCGGTCTTCCCCACGTCCCTCGATTCGTCAGCTAGCACGGCGAAGAACTTGGCGACCTTGACCTCGGCGACAATTCTCCGTCGTATGATCTTCCCAATCGTTGAGATGATCTCGTTTTGGAACGTATGACTAACGTATGTCGCGTTCTTCTTGGCGCTGTTGAGGTGTTCTTCCAGAAGCCGATCCCCGGCATCGAGTCGATACCGCAACAGAGCTCTGAAGTTGCCGTCATTATTATTTCCGTCGACGGCGCTAAGAGACCCATCATCTCTGTGACCTCGAAGTGGTATATTTTGCTTCCCGCAGAGAAGAATCGTTCTGATTATAGGTACCAATCCTTGTCGATTCTTCTTCACCTGCTCTTCTCGTGCGGCTAACAATCGGTTCCTGAGGTCGTGGCCGACCTTATCGTTGTACCAATCGAGGAATTTCTCAGCTTTTCCTTTAGCCTCGCAATGATATTGGCAACGCTCATGGTTCTTCAGAATATCCAAGGCCTTCTTATACTTGTTGAGAGGTTTCGCGACCAGAACACCGAGGAAGTTGGGCCCTCTCTGATCCGACGTTTCTCTCGCAAACAGGACGCAGTATTTGCAGAAAGCCCCTCCGCCATGCATTTCGCTATAGGCTAACCACGGCCATTTCACGAGATAATGATGCTGGAAAGCACGAGTGCGAGTCGACTCCAGAACTTTCGGGAACTGATAGTGCTCATCGGGTTTCCAGCAATCTGTCAGCGCTTTGAACCGCTCCTCCTCCGTCAAAGGAGCATGTAGAGAGGAACTCTTCCGAACGAAGCGGCCAATATCCATGGGATCGAATGCCAACCGCGGCTTCTTCACGGCCGGAGACGCATTCGAATCGCACTCGTCCAAGGTTTCAATTATAGGCGGAGATTCCGCTCCGTCTTGTTGAGTCGAGGACGTCTGTAGGTCTCCCTCGGCCACAGTTCCCGGTTCCGTGGAGAAGAAATTTGTGAGCTTTTCTTGTCTCTTCATCTTTCATCACGATGAATTCGAACACTGATTTCGCTTTGGACCGCAGATAACGCGAGGTGCGTGTCTTGAACGTAAACACAATTTTAGATGTCGTCGTTGCACATAGGTGTGAGTCTGCGGGGCTCTTCTCGGACGCGAAAGTTATCGATTCAAAGGATATATGAAGCTTTCCGGGGCAGACTGCCGGAATTGGTCGTCAATTGAGACCATTCTCAACCGATATAGTATGTATACCTTAGGCTCTCGGGGGGGCCATGGCCCCCTTGGCCCCCCCCTGGATCCGCCACTG